GTACCCTGCATCAGCATCGATAAATGCTCAGGGGTAATTGGGCTTGGTCTTGCGGAGGAGAGAATGAGTAGAGTGTGTGTTGCCTAGGTACAGCTGTACCTGTCTAAGGCTTCCTTGGACTGTACTATCACCACCAGCAAGAGTTCTGAGATGAATCTCAATATTCCAATGTAGTGTAGTAGTGTCCTTTCTACTTCGCATGGAGGTAATGTCTTAAGATCCGATGATGGTGACTATAAGGAGATGCCAATACCCGAGCAGTTTGTCCACAAATTGGTGAATGTTGAGGAGCAACCTGCTACGGCCAAGCTACACAGTGCTGTGTCCGACCTGTAATGAGACTCTCATACTATTCATTGTCATCATCATGATGCTGTGTAGGTACGCCTGATGATGATGATGTCCTCCATTAATTCTCATTGCAACTATACTCAATTGATCATGATTTTCGTATCGATACCACAGCGTTGCGCAGTAGTGCTGTGCAGTAGGTCCCTTCTTTGGACATCCTCACAACGAACATCCTAAGTAGCTTCCTTCACTTCTGGATGGATACCTCGACCACCTCTCCCGTTCCTGAGGAGGCTCCTGTAGCCAAATTGCAGCTCAATGCCAAGCGGAAATGTGCCCTAGTAGTAGGGTTCAATGGTAGTAGATCGAGAGAGCCCAACAGTCCTATAGGGTACCTCGAGCCTGATAATGGAGCTCTGGTGTATCATAATAGTAGTGGGATGTCAGGAGCTCCTTGTTTGCAGGTACCAAGTACCGAGGCTTACAGATGAATGCTGATAACTGTGATCGTATAGACTATGTCGAGTCAGACCTACTAGGGGCTATGAAGAGGGCTGGTGTGGTGAAGCCTGATGTCGTACGTTTAGATGAGATTCAGTGGACGAGGAGTAGTCGGACAGATGCTGGTGTACTACACCTACTCCCTGCGTGGCTGGTATAACCGTTCCCTTGTAGGTCTCGGCAGCGCGTATCGTGGTAAGTGCTAAAATACTAGTTCATGAGGCACCTGAGGTGAAAGGCAATCGTCAGCTGATAGGGTGAATAGAACGTAAGCCTTCTATTGATGGGGGAGAGTCGCTCATATCAAGCTCTATAGTATCCAGAGGTGGTGGAGGCTATCAATAAGAGCTACCTAGAGAGATCAAG